TGTTACCCCCCACCCCCATACTCCTCCTCCTCCTCCTCCTCCTCGGTGAACCCGGCTAACCTCCCCCAACCCCCCCGACTCACAACGCCCAGACAGGTGCTGAAGCGTTCTACTTTTGATCTCTCCGCAGAGTGCCTCGCTATGATTATCTCGCTGCCTTCGACTCATTCCGTCTATTCTCGTCCTTCCACTGCGGGGTTTTGTCTTGGCGCTTCCAGATGATGGTGGCGGAGCCAGACAGGCCCAGCGAGCACGCCGCTAGTAAAGAGGAGGCTCGCCTACACCCTGGTTCATGCGAAGAACTGCATTGTGGGAGGAGCGGTGGTTCATGTGAGCACATGGAGCCATTCAAAAAAAATGTACATTAGAAGAGGTGGCAGTGAGCGTGTCAATATCTTTCACTGTAACGGACTCAATGATTATAGTCAAATGATGTGAGGAATTTATCACAGAATATGCAGAAGAAACGAAGGCTGCAATGAATAAAAAACGGCGATTGATATGTTTGTATTGACCGGGGTAACCCAGAGGCAGAAATAGGGGTGAAAATGTGGGATTGAAATAAACATTTCACTGATGATTTATTTATTTTCGGGAGATGTGTAGAAGAACAAAACTGCAGAGGAAGCATTAAGCTGTTTTCTGCCTTTTTGTTTGTGACAAAAGTCATCCTCCCAAAGAGATTTCTACTCTTAGTACCTCCACAATTTGCACACAAACCTACAAGTACGACCTTTATAGATAAATAACCATGTCAAGCACCTTCCTGTCAAGTTACTTTATTAGCAAAGTTAACGCTTTGATATAATATTTCACTGCGCGATAACGCATTCTGTAACACCATCCTAAACTTAGAGTTCTTTCACTTAATAGCCCATGTAATCATTTAAGATTTTTTGTGGAACGTGTGATGAAATCCAAAAAAATAACCATAGGTGTATCTGCCTTATTGTTATTTACATCTTCTGGAAGAGATCAATAATTGCCCCGTGGTCCATTGCATCCATTGGGCTCATTAGAGCTGGTGCACATATCGGCTTTCCTCTACAGTGAACCTCTTTGCATCTTCTCTCCCCTTTCTCAAGATGCCTGGGGAATATTTCTGTACATATTCTGCAACAAGGCTTGACTTTTATATATTTTTTGTGCATTACTATTGATGCCTAAAACCCCTTTGACAGGCCAAGTGTAAGAAGCAGAAAACGCTCACCATGAATCGCTGGTGTTGGATAAACTTTGCCACGTTCGGGGTCTGTGATTGCTGCATTTTGTTTTCACAAATTCCAATATGATGTGGTCGGACAATAGCAGATGCTAACCAGAGAACCGTGATGCGATTTCAGATTGTGTCATCTAATATTTATCGGTTCGTTCCTTTTTCTTTTCATATAACAGGAACAGCGGAATCTAATATTCCATCTTTCACAGTGGGCGTCGGAGAGAATTCGCTTTTACTCTCCTGCAAATAACGTCTTTTAAAACATGACTCCCGTCGCTCTACACTGCTGCATGTCAGAGAGCGGTTGCTAGCGTGCTAACGCTGTCAAAAGTTATTTTTGTCTCTACTAAGATGTGCCGTGGTGACATTCAATTGCAAGGCAATCAAATTTTTTGTTCTTCATTTAAATGTAGATTTAAATTATAAGTAATAACTGAAAATTGAATTAAATTAAACCACTTGGAGGCACCCACAGTAGCGAGGGACACTGAGGCCCACACAGCGCTCCATGAAGCTGTATTTTCGCCCAGCAGTTTTTAATCAAATATTAAAATAGGCATCAGTATCAGAATTGCTTTGCCGAATGAACAATGTCTGCAGAAAATGTGAAAGTTTAAAGTTTAAAACTTGGCCGAGTTGTCGAGCCGAGCGACATCCTCAGGGGGGAAATCTTTCTGGTGCGGACGGAGCCGGAGCTGCGGCGCGATCAGAGCGCTTTGATGAGGCGGCGAGCGGTGCGAGACGGGTCCGCCGCGGCCCGCTCGCCGGGCATCGGCCACCGCGTAATGAGCCGCTCGGCTGTTTGCACCTCTGACATCGCGCAAAGCGTGTAAAATCCCCTTCTGCATTTCACACATTCAAATATCTACACTAATACGGACCCCATTGTGAGCTGTGAGCCGAATCGGGGCCGATGAGATTGAACCTCACTTGGAAATAAGTGGAACTTATTGGCGGGAAAATGGAGCCATCGGATGCTAATTAAGATTGCGGGCTACGGGGGAACGCGGCAATGTGGAAAGCGTTATCCGTAAATGAGGTGAGAGATGAACAACCCATTCAGCAGAGGTTTCCCATTCACCTCGGTTCACAATGAAACGAGGTGGATATCCATCTCCATCTCTGAACAATTCTACCATCTTGCATCTTTCTCATTAGAATCTGCATTCATTTCTCAAACGGTGGACTTTCTTGACCTCGTCTCACCTGCTCTTGTCATTTTGCAGCATCCAGCAGTGCTCAGCGGGGAATCACATCTGTCTTGCCACTTTGAAGAAATACATCGATACGGATAAATAGTGATGACTCCGACAATTACACACAGACACCCACATGGAGGACAGTGACGGATAGAGCAGCACACTCTGCAGGCAAACACATCAATGCACATATGGTGCCCTGAATTGCATTGTGAATCGCAATTAAGCTACACAGCTGGGGGGGTTCAGCCGTACCAGCAGGCATTGTTGCGCTCATTTGAACTTTTTTGGGAGAGCGAGCGATCGAGTGAAGCCTGATAAATGAACTGCACTGATAGATAATAATAGTAATCGGTTAGTGAGGTGGATTCTTTCTTGGTGGAAGGGTAGGATAGGATAGCATAGAGGGGGGAGAAATATTGTTCTTGCTTTCATGTGGCTCCCAGGGACAGCTGCTTTTATGTACAGCACACAGGAAGCGTGGGGATCCAAGGGAATTCCTTCCAATGCCCCTTATTTGCTTTTGAGCTTATTAATTGGGGGGGGGGGGGGGGGGGGCACGCTGGTGAGAAAAAAACCTGAATATTTTCAAAAATGGAGTCATAAGCAATTCTACCCATGGACTTTCGAGGGGGCACGGTGGTGCAGTGGTTAGTACTGTTGCTGGATGAACATTTTTTACAATGACTTGGGAGAATCCCAGGTCACAGTGACAGTGACAGTAATAACCACTGCACCACCGTGCCCCCTCAACGGTCGATAAGTTCTTTTGCAAATGTACGTTTTCTCACCTGCGTGCCCCCTCATACAACTATAGTAAGCATTTTATGACTTTTTTTGCAAAATATTTGGGGATTTCTTTCAAATGTTTATTTTCAAAGAAGGAACCTTTCTTAAATGTTATTTGACATGCTGGATGCACATTTTTTACAATTACTTGAAAGAACCCCAGCCAGCATTGGGCTAAGCCATCTAACACGGAGGCAAAAAAGTCATGAAATTCTTACTATAGTCATATGAGGGGGCCACGATAGTGACAAAACAAAAAAGAATCTGAACATTTTCTAAAATGGACTGAAATTCTAGCCATAAACATGTGAGGGGTAAGACTGTATCTTAGCAAGTATTAATGGTGATTGAATTAGCAATGTCAGTATCCTAACATAGTCTTTTTACATCTATGTAGTACTCTATATATTTGATGCTAAGTCATGGTCGATGTTCATCGGAGGGGTTTATCTCACATTCCGGTTGGTACTGTGCTGAAGCCACAGCGCATGCTGGCAGGTTCAGCGCGGAGTGCATCTCTCTCCGCCAAGCCGCTGCGTGTGGCTTGAACCGGTGTCACACACAGTTGATGATGCGCCCGATTCAAGTAGACCGATGATGACCACTCTCCGCTTTGAAGATCGCCGCGCGCTCGCCCAGGCTTTGTTGCTCCCTGCATACATTTGTGATTGGGAATCACAGGGCTGTGAAGAAGGTGAGATTGGCTTCGGTCCGGCAGCTCCTCTCTGTCTTGATGTAGTGATGCGTGTTCCCCCCACATGCTGCACCGCACACAGTCGCGTTTACGTCACTTCAGAGTCACCTTTCACTTTTTAGGCCTTACCCTGGGATTGGATCACGTCTTCAAGCTAAAAATGTAATGATGCACGTTATGGAGACATGCAATTTGTCTTCAAAAGGAAGGCGAGTCCACACAATTTGACCCCGTAAACAGATTTATCTTCCCACAGCAAGAATAATACTCCCCCCCCCCGCACACACAATTTGTGTTTGTGTTTGTGTGCGTGCGCGTGGGCGTCAGCAAGCAACAGTCACAGAACACACAGTAAATATAGACCACGAACGAGGACTGTCCAGAAGAAAAAAGCAAAGGTGCACACTTTACATACATTACATGGAATGTAAACCACCACGAATAGACACACATCCTTCACAGGTTGAAGGGGGGAGCTGGGTCAGTTCCCACACTGTTGTATTTTAATACAACAGCAAATGTGTTGGGAATAGATTTAACAGCGTCTGCTCTAATCTAGGCTGCGATACACATTTTTTTTTGTCTCGTCTTTTGATGTCACACGTGACCAAACAAAGCGAATGTCACTTTAGATTTGTGTATTCGTAAAAGGCGTTTTTTTTCTTGTGACTGAAAGAGCACACGCTAAATACAGACAAGTGTGTAAGCTGGCTGGCAGGTTTCCTGTGTCCTTGCTGGCTGCGTAGCTCTCATGGGCATATTTAAGATACCAGATTCTTGAGTAGTCAGCCAGAGAAAAGCGTTTTTAACCGGCTCATGAAAGCCAACGGCAGCTTACTTTAATTGATGGATCAATTAGTTGGCTTGCTACAGATGATAAAACTTGCTACATTGACAGCCGCTGGTGGAAATGTCGTGCTTGTCGACCTTTTAAGTGAAATTCCGAAGCCCTTGTTTCAAACGTTAATGAAATGAATGAAAGGAAATGAAAAGGTTTTTGGAGCAAATCTGCTGCTGCTATCATGGTAGATTGCATTTGGGCTTAAATGGACAGCTGGACAGGCGTAGCACCGGTAACTAAGAGACAGAGAGGCTGCTGTCAAAGGTTTGTTTATTTTCCACTTGTAAAACACACTTTTAGAAGATCCCACTGTACATTTATTTTCCTTTGAATCGTCCTTATCATCACACCTGCATCCACCCACTGTACACTTATTTCACCGGTCACAGTGGACTTGCTTTGGCTAATGGATCGCCCCCCCCCCCCTTGAATCTGCCCACTCGGCACATTGGTATCTGCCCCGTTGGGTCGTCAATAATCAAATAACACTGCAGTCTGCATTTAGAAACGTAAACAATAGCGTCATGTATGAGTAGTTACAGAGAGATCTTTGGATGGTCCGATCGTATCGTATTACGCTCATTTATTCTTGATTATAGCTAAGCATTCAGTCAGCATTCAGTAACTCATTGTCTCTGTTGCTATCTCACTTTTAATAAAGTTTTAACTTCAATTATTAAAATGTTAAGTCCGCTGGATTCAAAGTGATCTACGCTCTTCATATATAATACATTGCATTCGTTTTTACGTGTTCAGCTCTCATCACGTCGATGGTATTGAGCCTCCCTGGCAGAGAGAACATGTTGCTAAGTGCTGCAGCCCAAGAGGACATTTTAAGTGAGAAGTGGGCTGCGTGGATTGGAGCTGGCATTGGCCAACTGCTATAAAAAAACCTAAGGCATGGGGTGACGATGGTGCCAAATACAAGCTGCCTTGCATTTTGCCAGCCATCAAAATGTTCCAAACTGCTGCATTTAGTCTGAATTATTGATGATCATAGAAAGTCAATTGTCACGATCCACACATTATTGTAAAGGACACCACATTAAAATCTTAATAAGCTAAATTTTTCCTCCGTTTTCCACGCGTCATTTAGCGTTTACCAATCCGTCATCCATCTAGAATAAATGAGACGTAACATTTTAGTAATAAGCACCTTCCTAAACAGCAATTAAATGCTAATTCAACATTTTCCTCATGCAGTTTGAACCTCTCAAAAGCAGCTCCGGCAGAATTGGAAACTCGCGGGCAATCAGCGGGCCACTTAAGGTTATCACTGCTGGCATTTCAGCATGGCACAATTTGTCAAAGAACGCAATGAAAATCCTAGAGCGGCACGCAGATATATATTTTTCATTTTGTGGCTGGTTTCGTTTCTGATGTGGATACAATAAAATGAATCTAATTAAGAAAATAATTTCCTATATCCAATTAAAAATACCTGCCAGGGCAAACATGGCACCGCATCTATGCTTGGTCTGAAACATGGATTTACTGGCGTCATTACAGCTTGCTTAATATAATATGCACTAGTTAAATCTGTACAGATGTGCTCATTCCACTGAAATGTTGTTATCTGGCTTGTTGCTATGGTATTCCGTCTCCCAACGCTGCTCCTCTTGGGAAAACACTGGCAGTGAAGACTAATTCAGACTTCACCGAAAATTAGGTAATGGGATGTTTGGGGCCATGCAGTTGGCTTAGTGTCTCCCAATGTACCACGAACATCTCCTGAATATGAATGCACTTAAACAACGAATGTAAAACAAAGCCTGCAACGCCCCTGGGACTTGTTGCAGTGCTAACGTGTAAACTGTAATGCAGCCTCTTCGGTTCCAGTTGCAGACGTTGGGGTCAAAACGAGTTCTGAGGCGGCTTCAGGTCCACGCCGGGGAATAAAATCCTGGTGGCGCTGTTCTGATCATCAAACCCCGAGTAATCAACCAGCCTTTGTTCCAGTGCAACAGATCTCATTCATATTGAAATGTTTTCTTCAAGGGAATTCCAACCAGAAGCTCTCACATTGGGGGTGTACAATGTGAACAGCGATAAAAGGCTCCCGCCTTGCACATCGGCAGACATCAAAGTGGAGCGTGCTAACATCTTCCGAGCAGACTGAGGTGAAGGGCACCGCCGTGGGCTAAATCAGCTGAAATAGTAACAATAGATATGCTTTGCCACATTGCTCTGCAAGGCGTGACGTCAACCCCCTGCTTAAATCCTACCCTCAGGCTGGCTGGCTGGCCAAGAGAAGGTCCTTCCCGCAGGCGTAACGCTGCAGTTTTTGTACTGAACTTTTGTCATCGGAAAAGCTATCAGAAATTTTGAAGATGTTTCAAGATCCTCAAAATCTTGTATAAGGAACCATATAACATCTCCTACTTGCCTTCCTTTAACTTAACATCCCGTATATAGGATCCTCACAGACCAGTCGGAGCTTTCTTTTCCTCTCTTGGTGTCATAGCAACAGAGCGTGAGGCCGCGTTGCTTTATTGGTGAATTGTCACCTCGGTTGATGTGGTTTCCATATTCAGCCTGACATCGCCTTGGGTGGGGGGGGGGGTGTTCCACTTGAACCATTCACAAACAAGAAACCAATGTATCCGTCTGAGTCAAACTTCATTTTAAGTCGACAGGTGATGCGCTGCCATGACAACATACTTTGTGCGGGTGTTTTAAGAGTGTAGAGAGAGAGAGAGGAAATAAAAAAAGGCAAACCTGTAAATAAAAAAAACAAAGCCTCCAACGTCCGGCGATATTGAGGAGACGTGTCATATATGTGAACTTAGATTGTTAGTCAAGGGGGGTAATATACACTTTATGGGGTGTGAAATTAGGGTTAGAAATGCTTTATCCATCCCCAGAAAGTAAACTTGTTTGCCACCAACAACAGTTCATACGAATAGTATACATTAGACATGACACAACCTTAGAAGGAATAAATAAAAAACGTAAAGGTGCCTGAAATGCAGACAGTCAGACGACACTTAGTCCACCGCAACCCAAGACAACATATGATTTGTCGTTGTCAGACAGCATGTACGGACTCAACGATGCGTGTGCACGCCGCTGTTATCCAAAGAGGATGGATTACACTTAGAAGGGCTTTATATGCAGGATGAGATTCTGCAGACAGCTTCCGTGTAAAATGCCATACGGGCTTATCCTATTTCATCAGTGGGACTGTGGCACAGCAGGATCTGCTGAATCTGTTTGAAATTCTTCCCACCTACATTGTATTAACTATTCATGGCCTGGCAGAGTGAATTATTACAGTGAATGACAGCGCAGCGGTCAGAAGAGAGAGATGGTGGAAAACAGTAAAACATCAGCAATGGATCGGTATTCAGAGTAAACACATGCTTACAACCCCCGAGCAGAGACGGATCAATGTTTGCCTTCACTATATTTATTCTATATATATATATTCTATTGATATGTACAGTATATATATATATAATTTTTTCTTTTCCTTGTGTTTTCAAAAGAAGATTTTCTTTGATCTCTTGAGATATCAGATATCAGAAACTGATATTTACAGAAAAGAAAAAAGCATTCCTTGATATATTTCAACTTTTCCGTGTTTCAACAGAGCCCGTGAATTAAAGTTTGAAATGGTAAACTTCAGGATTGTGCTGTGTGTTCCGTCCCGGGGCAAAGAAAGGCTTATCTTATATTTCCTCTGGAGTATTTAGGACTTTCCAACTGACCTTTCTTCCACAATCACCTCAGTTATTTGCCCCGAGAACCCAAATAAAGCTAGCAAGGAGCTGAGCGGAGATTAAGGAAAAGAAGGCGACGTGCTCATTCATATCACATACATATGCTCACCAAAATCCCCTCCTCCACAGTCCTGCTGTGCAGTTTCCATTTGGATAAAACTCAGCTGGCGCAGAATAACGAGTGCAACAACAACAACAACAACAACACGCAGTGACAGGACGACACCAGGCCCACTATGTTGTGCAGACAAGAGAGACGGGGCAACGGTAAAACAAAATAACAGTTTCTAGGAAGCCTTGCAGCTCTCGATTTGCCCAAATATTCAAAAATGTTGGTAGCTGCATCCATTTCTGTACAATTCAGCAGCTAACGCACAGGTTTGCCTCTGCCAGGGGCATCTGGTTCTAATCCTAAGTCAGTTTAGCCAAGACCCATTTTCATGCATCCCGGCTCTTCCTGAAAACATGGCTGGATGTGCAGCTCTGAAAGACAGCAGACTCACTCCTGGCTGTGAAATCGCGAATGTTGGGGGATTGGATGGTATAATTCCTGTTTATAAACTGACTTCCAGTAGTTGGGCAACAATGATCATAATAATGAATAATTATGAAAAAGTAGAACACTGAATTCTTTCCCTTGTTCAGGCTTGTGTGTGTCTGTTGCCAACTGTTGGCAAATATCTAGCCAGTCGGCCTCATGGCTCAACCCGAACAGCTTTCACTTTCATAAGCCTTCATGCCGATGTGCAAAGCTTGACGCTGTGTATCTCCAATCAAGGGCTCGTTTATTGTCAATTTCATCAGCCAAGGCTTCTGTGGAAGAAAACATGCACACATTGAAAACACACTGACACAATAACACATTCGATTTCCGGTTCTCCCGTGTCTGCTTCTATGAAAATAAGTATGGATTCCCCAAAAAGTGTCTTGGAGGGAGGTAATTGTCTATTTGATTTTTTTTAAATTTTTTTACCTCTTTTGAGAAGGAAAACTGGGAAACAGTGATGAATGGTGGACAACACATTTCTGTAACATTTTGCTGTTGCTGAGCTTGTTGGTCACCACACAGAACCAGACCTAAGAGGGGGCAAAGGGTGAATAACCAACCACCCTCGGGCCTTTTTGTTCAACCAATAAGTCATGCAATTAACACATTTAAGGAGCGCTAAACAGATCAGTTTTGATCAATCAGCACTTTTGAAAAAAATCTATTTTTTAAACCATATCTAGGATATCGGCTCCTGTCTGTAGTTCATGCATTTCAATATTCACAGCAGTTTGTTGGCGTATTTTCATGATACATTTTTTCATGACAAAATACTCTGTATAACTCGGTATGTAGTTGTTGTTTTTTTGATTTGATGCTATTATTTATTTATATTTGAAATGATGAACTGCTCTGACTTATAACCCATGTCATTTAAGGTCTGTTATTCTAAATCAGGGTCAAAGAATACGGTCGGGTTGAGACCAGGTGCAATCTTGTAGTCTAACTTGTGTACAAAATAAATTCTAGAAAAAGGATAATTTCATAGTATTCTCTGTCATTCTTTAAGTTAAACTATGCATCGCTATAAATATAATCTTTCATGAGCTAAAACACCCATTTTAAGCTTTACAACCACCCCTTTTCCACCACGATGTTTTCTTTAGCCTTGCCACTGCTGAGGACGACAATGTCGTTGAGTCTACCACCTGGTCCAAAGGGAAATATCTCCAGAACTACTGGGTGGATTTGTATGACGTTTGCTGCGATGAATCCTTTGACTTTGGTGATGACCCCTGACCTTTTCTCTATAGCACCATTTGAGTTTTTCAGTGAGACGTCTCAAAAGGAATTGGCGTGGAATAGACACACACATTGAAGCCCCCCATCATGATGATGTGTGATGACATCGATGATCCCCACCGTCATCACGTCGATGACCGAATCCCTACATCAGCTACAATTTGTATTGAGGGCCAACTGGCTAATGTTAGCATGCATACACACTAAAGAGAGCTACTCATGTTAGCATTAAAACATAATCCCTCAGTTGATCTGAACAATTCAAAATCACCAAATTTGGAGAAAAATTATTTTCACTTGACAGCGACAGCAGAAGCACCTTTTTTTAAACGAGAATCTTTCAATACTTTCATGTTCCTCTCCAACGGGAGCTCAATTCCATATAGCACAACTATTTTCTGGGAATCAATTGCTCATCGATCACTTGCTGCTTCAAGTAGAAAGAAGCAATGTGTGCAGGAAAAAAAGGTTTGTCATTTAAAAACATGCATCACATGAACTTCTACACAAAAATGCCATGCTATTTTATTCATTTGTCGATTTTATTTCTATTGATCACATCTGTAGTTGCGATGCTTCGAATAGGTCCCCACATCTTCTGCGTCTGGTGACTTTATTTAGTGTGGCTGGTTCGTACCCGCAGCTCCTCAACAGTGCATCTATTTGGAGATAATGGTGTGTTAATTCGTTCTGCCCTTCCTGCTTCATCAAAACCAATGGTTTGTGTAGTTGCATTTGCAAAGAGAATTGATGTATTGGAATTCGGCGGCTGTGGAGACGCTGTACGTTTATCTAAGTCTGTATGAATAAGTTACATGTGAAGCCAGGGAGTTCATGTGTCCTCAGCGAAACGGTGGTTTCCTTACAGAAGGGATTTCAGGTCATGATAGTTTAGAAAATAAAAAATGTGTTTTTTACATTTTTTTTATCAGGCTCTTTTGAGCAGTTCTAAAAGATTTTTCTTTAATCTCTCTTCCATCTATATTTTGAAAGCACTCCCAGCCGCTCCACATATGAACCCAACTCGCAGATGGACCCTCGACCACCACAGCCACCTGCAACGCGACCCCCTTTATTCCTCTCTTTGTCGACCCAGTAGCTCAGACGCGCGTTTCAATCCTCGCCGTGAGGTACCCTCGCCAGCAAACAAAACCCAAAAATAAAACACACATATTTCTCTCAGACGGTCTCTGGTTATCATCCATCTTGAGGATGATTGAGTGACGCATACAGACGGTCCTTCTCTGCCCGGAGGAGCAACGCCGCGGAGCGCCCGCTCAGCGCTGCCGGGAGAAGAGGTTTTTCAGGGCGTTGTTGTAGTTCTTATTGAAGGCGGTGTATATGAGCGGGTTAAAGAAGGAGTTGGAGTACCCCAGCCACAGGAAGATGCTCTTCCAGACTGGCGGGATGTCGCAGGAGCACAGCGGGACGATGAGCTCGGTGATGAAGAAGGGGATCCAGCAGAGGACAAACACGCCGATCAAAATGCCCACCATCAAGGCCGCCTTCTTCTCCTTCTGCTCACGCCACGTGTCCCCGTCGGTCTGGAAGGTCACGGTGGCGTGGCGCACTGTGAACACCATCTGCGGTGGATGCGTTTCGTCCTTCACCTGGTGGAGGTAAGTGATCAGAGGATAACTCGGTTACAACGCTGATTTATTTAACAAGCTCACACCCACCTGGGGGCATTTTTTCTTCTCTTGTGAATTGTTGTTTTAGTCTTAATCCTTTCAAACATAAGAAAAAAATCTTACGGCACAAGTGGGCTTTTTATTACTCCTTGTGACCATGACAAATGTTTTTATAAAGGCCTTTATAAATAGAAAACTAATATCTTCAACAATGCAGGCCATTTTGTCAACTCAACAAAAGATGGATTACTGGCTGAAAATAAATGGGAATCGACAGTTGGATCAACAAGCCAAAGCAAATTCTTTCATAACACATCCGCACACACAGACACAGGACGTAAAACTAGAGCAGTGTCTTAATCTACATTTTCCAGAAGCCAATTTCACAAACATACTGCAAAAAAATAAATGGCAACATTAATCTGCAGACTTTATAATCTCCTGTTTTTTTTTGCTTCACACAGCAAAAGGCTAACTTCACTTCTCTTGTTTTCAAGGTAAAGTTGCGCGGGTCCTTCAGCAGCCTTTCATACAGACCCTCTAACTGTGTCGGAAGAGTTAAACAGACGAGCGCTCTATGCTGCCCACCACTGAACAGGAATCTAGAGATGGAGAAGCTCTCTCACTCCGGAGTAAATGCAGCTGGATCAATACGGGTCAGCTGGGCCTATAAGTGATGAAATGGACGATTGCAGGTCCATCTACAGCAGAGCGCAGAGGTTAAAAGCGTAATGCTGTTGTGAAGGAGGCTTTCATTTCTGAACCAACTTCTCCAAGTGCTGACAAACCGGAAGATGACCATAAATATGAAGGTCAACAGAGGAGTCGGTTAGCGCGCACAAACTGGAAACAACGGCTCTGTTCAATAATTAATTCAATTCTTGTTTGTTTAAATGTAAAAAGTACAATTTGTGGTTTAATTCAGGAGTTACATGCTTGGAGCTCTATTTTTTTTCAAAGGCCCACTTAACCCAATGAATAACTTTATTCAAATTTGGGAATTCATACATATTTATGCAACGCTGTGTCCGAAAACCTCAATAAAAGCTTCAAATGTAAAAGAAAAAACATCAAAAACCTTCGGCAGCCTTTACTCCGGCAGAGTGAGCGGATAGCGATGTGAGTGGAGTGTCTTTTATTTAATATGACGCGTGTGACCCGGTACAACGGCAGCAGCTACAACAAACACAAACGGGTTTCCACAGAGCTCTGGGATTCAATACAATCTATAATGCAAGGAATGAAAGTGAGTGTGCAATTGATTTTGACATTAGGCCACTTTTATATGTAGTGAAATGAAACGGTCGATTTTACGGCTTTTTGGTACTTCGGCGTTAAAAGATTTGCATCTTGGCCCAGATGCAATCTGTGCACATCTGTAGACCCCGTTTCTGGTGGCACGTGGGTACTATAAATACCTTTGAGTGGGTGTTCATGGATGAATTGATATTTATTAACCTGCGTGCGAATGCCATCGCTCACATTACAACATACAGACACTCGTCTCTCCGATGACGACGATAAACTTCGGCTCGCTAACGACACTCGTCTGATACGGCTACCGGCAACGGGTATATCTGTGGAAAGCAATATGACTATCAAAACATATTCAATTTAATTGCTATAACCAGAGCGATTGCCTGTGTAATGAAACCTGACATGAAGTTAGTCCACCAGATGAATAAAAGGCACGGCTGGTGTATTCCGTGATTGGTTCTCCTTGTCCACGAGCTCCTGATTTTGGGGCAAATGATGTCACCCTCTCATAACTGATAGGTATCTTGAGGACTCTGGGAAGTTTTTAAAGTACGTGGATGACATACATAAGCAAAAGAATCTTCTGTAAAACATTAATCGCTTCTGTGGAGTTCTGAGAGTGTTCAGACATTTGATGATTTTCATAAGAAGCCTTTCAAAGGTGAAAGAAAGAGGCGTCTGCTGTCTGAAAGTGGCGTAATCTCTGTAGCGCAGGTGCTTCCGTAATAACCACCACATGGGCAGGTGAAAAGTGAGAGCCGACTCAATTTTCAGGGGGTAAATTTGCCCGACTAAATGATGTCCATTAAAAAGGCCCGAGTTGGTATTTATAGCTTTCTACCTTCTGCCTATGCACATTAACAAGCTGGTGGTAATGAGCAGGATCGCGGCAATTATTCATCCGTATGCTCATTCATACGATTCTCGGGTTTCCTTGATTGCTGTTTAATAGCTCGTCAACCAGAATAATAAATAAATCCAAAGCAATTGATATTTTTGGGGGTCTGGGATATCAGTGAGAGGGATAAATATTGGTCATAAACTGCAGGTCAGCACAGTTTATTTTTAACCCCAAACGTTTGATTCAATAAAATGTCCACATCAGTTCTCTGACTCAGCCGGTCACAGCTGCTTATTAAAGCCTTCTGATTGGCTTCATGGAGAGTTCGTCCATTATTATTACTAATACTAATACTTCAGTAACTCTTCCGAATATAGAATTATACTTTGCTCAATTTAGCAAATACAGAACTGACAGTCAGGTCAATCCACAACTGTGTCACGATAAACCATTTTCATTCCTTTGAACTCTTCCTTAGTATATCATAATTCCCACTACACCTTCACACTGTCAGTTTCACTACGCGCACAACCAGACCTTTCATATTGAGTTACAATTCCTGCAGGCTCTGAGCTTTCATAGTGTCCCCGTTGCAGCCCCCTCCCCTAGAATGAGGGATGACGGTCCTCTCCATGTCTTCGCTTCCCTGCGACTGATGAGGGCCACTTAGGTAGCAGATTGTCATTCGAGTGAATGGAGTGTGGGTCTAATGCTTTGCCCCATGAGCCCTTCTTCTGGGCTTCAACCTGTACCGGTCTTCAGCGGTGCCATGAAATATCCCGTAAATGCTAAAAGTGGATGAGTGAGTTTGAATACCACCAACAGACGTGGCTTGAACAGCGGCGTTCTTTGGGGCTGCGTGCTCTTGTTTCTCTCTTTCCACTCTGCGTTTACTATCAGCAGATATTTTCGTGTCCTTTGCCCGTCGTCTGCATATCGACAGGTCTTGTCACGTAAGCGCTCTGGTATTTCTTGTCTCGTTGACTGAGGAAGGTCACAGCGGTGCCCTGCCTATGGGGTAGAAAGTTGTCCTCGGCCTGCTTGCTAGAAGTGACTTTTCTTACAGAAACAGAAACATGTTTCTCTCCCTACGGCCCTTTTCCCCCACGTTTGCTACACAGATTCTGATGCTGGGCGTTTTCCCCGGGCATTATGCTCCTTTCCGCATCAGCGCTCTCCCCCGCTTGTGGGCTTTGCTCTCCTCCATCTCTTCTCTCCTCGGCTGGCTGTTTCCCACATCCCTTCAATGGGAGTGCATAACCTCCTCCACCCTGAATCCTGCTAGGCTTATCTGCTGTGAGGCACCCCGTCCTCATCGTAGCGTGCACAGCAGCTTCTTATGTAAGGTGGGACATGCGCTCACCTGGATCTGCAGTCAACCTACACCGGGTGAAGCTGTCTCCAGGTTTTCTGGAGCACCGAGCTTTGCGAATAGTGTCGTTTGTGCGGCGTCTGTGTGCTGTGTTGTATTTCCTCTTCAACATAAGCGTTAAACCAAGTGCTGTAAACCAACCTTACCGACAAACGGCTAGCTCTTTGAAGGTTTCAAAGTGTAATAATAATACCACAACAAGGGGATTTAAAGCGGGATCAGTGAGGCATCTGAGCAGAAGAAAAGGAATAATCACCTCTGCCATGGGTGTTATCGTGTTGGTCTTGCGGGTACCAATCCGAAACTTGGCAGCCTTGTAGATCTTCCAGTAAACAAAGAGCACCACGCAAAGCGGCAGGTAAAACGCCCCGAAGGTGGAGAAGATCGTGTAGGACGGCTCCTGGCTCACCTGGCACTTCATCCCCTCTGTGTAGGTCTCCCCCCAGCCGAAAAGAGGCGACAGGGAAATGATGGAGGACAGCAGCCACGTGAGTGCGATCATCACATTGGAGATCTTTTTGCGCGTCTTCAGCGTGTACTCCAGGTGCCGGGTGATGGACCAGTAGCGGTCCAGAGCTATGGCCGTCACGTTCCAGATGCTGGCCGTGCAGCAGAGCACGTCGAAGGAGATCCACACCTGGCAGAGCACCCGGCCCAGTTTCCAGCGCCTGCCGTTCAGCTCGTGGACGAGGCTGAGCGGCATGACCAGGGCGGCCACCATCACGTCGGAGATGGCCATGGAAGCCACGAGGTTGTGCGGCACGCGGTGGAATGTCCTCACCCTCAGGATGGTAACCAGCACCAGCAGGTTCCACACGAACGTGGCCACCACCAGCATCGCCAGCAAGGTAAGAGTGAGCACGCTGAAAACAGAAAAGGGCCGGTAGATGTTTCCCCCCGAGTCATGGCCGTCCAAAGCGCCGCTGAAGTTGGCTGTCAGAATGCTGGTGTTGGGATACGTCATGGTAGCTGCTCACGGCCCCGCAGCCGAGGGCCAAGACGGTTGAGTTTCTGCAGATAGCTGACGCATTCTGCAGTCGGTAGAGAGACGAGGGAGAGGCAATTTCAATGTGACCTTTCAAGTATCTCACATTTGTAAAAAGGTTTTTTCAATAAAAGTTCAATGAAATTCAACGATAAATGCTAAACGTTGAAGATGCCATTCGAACACAAAATGCAGCTTTGGCGGGTGGCTTTGCACTGTTGCACTGAAATTCACTAGTGTACATCGCTGTGTCATTCACCAGGGAGGCACTTTAGTGATTTGCTCACGATAGTAAAACGCACTTGAGTTTCTAACAGCTGTGAAGCAGCCTGACTACAACTTTCAAGTACAATTTTATCGGCTGTTAAAAAGGCTCCAAAGTACTCTGAGACATCTCGACTTCTGCAAGAGACCATAAATATTCAGTTTCATCATCTCACTGCTGCCCTTTGATTTGCATCAAGGTGAGACCTCTGTTGCAAAATGAGCATGCAGCATTAAACAGAGTCTTTGTTGCAAACTCATTTGTTTTCAATAGAGAGACCCCCCCCCCGTTCAACGTTAGGGAGTTGTGTTTGTGTTGTAAGGGGTTGCAGAGACAGCATCTATTTTCACATGGAAAAGGGGAGAATGTCGGAGAGACGCTGCGTATTAACATGGGATTGTCTCCATTTCTGCTTCACAGAAGAAAAGATTCAAAATGCCAGCTCTATCAATACATTCCCAGAAGAGGCTCAGCTTGTCTCAAAGTAAACACTACATGAGGTCCAAAGGAAAAGAAAATCTCAGATCACCAACCAAGCATTCGGCCAGCTGGATGTTGTTAAGTGTGGTATTGATCTTTACACCCTACAAACGGCTATATATTGTATAATAGATCAACTGAACCATAACTGGAATGATAACAGAAAAACAATTATTATATGTGACTATTTGGAAAAACAAATATGAAATGAACGAACAGAGAAAGATCCATCTGACATTGGGAATCCATTATTTTGGCTCAGAATATATTGTTATGGTAACGTGGGTGCATCTCACTCACAGAAGCATAGCTTTCAGCAGCATCACTAGGGGGAACGATGATTTCATGCATCGTGTCTTGGAAAATATATTCAGATGTGGCTCATCCGACAATATCATAATATGTTAATTTAAATTCTGAATTATAATGCTTTATTGATTAATCAGTTTAAACTACTTCTCGTGCTGTATTTTTTCCCTGTGAACCGCTCTTGCTTCCAACAATGCTCTCGTGCTTTTTTAAAATACACATCTGGGTTTCTTACCTTGACCCACTGTTTTCGCTCATCACACTGACCTTTGTCTTTAAAGTGCAGCTTTAACCACAACCATGAATATGAATAGAAAGGAATTATGTTTTCTCTTTATGAGATTGTAATGGCGGGATTCAGACGACGTGCTCAGGTTGATCCCAATCAAAGTGTCCATAATGAGTGCACATAATAGCAAAAATTGTCCCCAATTGATTTTGGTTTTGAATTTCAGGATTTAATCAACGGGATCGTTCTTTGACATTTCTGTTACTGAAGCACAAATCAATGGAAGGGATCCTTGAATTTCCGAGGACGGCTTGATGATTTCTGCAAAAAAATTAAAATGCAGTGGAGCCGCTCAGAGTTACTTCCACCGTGGAGGTTAATAACATGCTGGTTTGTTCATCACCACCGAAAAAAACCCTTTGGCCCCACTTTCATGAAACGTGGTGGAAAGGTGAGGCATGGCCCGAACCACCTTCACCTCAAAGGGCGGATACACAGATTGTTTTTCACTTCTGCTAACCTTGGTTTGAGGAGTGCATGCGGGTCGTATCAGAAGCATCTGCTTGTTATCAGTCAGTCATCCCGACGGATTATATCAATATATCGCGCCACAACCCTGTTAGTCGGTTTGTTCACGTGACACGATTTCTTCTGCTGGCAAACCATGCCTTCTGATCAAAGGGTCCAACTGAAGATCATCGATACGCCCTCTGCCCCCTCTTCTCCCCGCGTCTATTAACAAGCCCAACAGCCATGAAATTGGACAACCGTTTTGAAGGGAACAGGCAGTTAAACATGCACGCTTCCACCCCTCAAACAGCGGCTGTCACTCACGCTGTGAAAGAGAGACACACAAGGCGCCACGCCACAAATATATATGTGCATATGTGAGAGGAGGGGGGTAGAAGACAAAATCGCAGCCACCGACGTCTCTACTGAGGAGTGTTTTTGTAGACAGCTAGGTGGGTGAAGTGTCAATTCAGATCAGTCACTGTCGTGCGACTTGCCAGTGTCAGCTAGTTCACTGGGCATATTTGCTGAGGAGCCCTGTGGGGTTTTTAGTTAACTATGACAAATTAAACGGGGACAGGGTGTGATTAACATCTAATTACAACAAGTATGCTTTTACTTTGTAATGCACGTAGGAGAAAAGAGGGGAAAATGATAGCTCTAACATAAAATCATTTCAATATTGAGCACAAAGCTGCAGCAGAGGGACATCTGCACGTGCATGTCAATACAATAATGAATCAGTAAATAACATATATCTTATGTATCGAATTGCAAGAAAACCACACTGCATCCGAATGCTGTTGGTAACTTATTTTGATGTGTCATTTTCTAGAAATATAAATGCATTATAGATATTTTTCTCTGTGGGGTAAAATTGTCCTTGTTCAATCAACAACTGAAGGCATCAATGTCTGTCAGCTGCATGATCCTGGTGATAAAGGGGGCTTCCTCCATTCCATTTCATCGTCTCCAAAACCTCTTACAACCTCGTGCTTTGCAGCAGCACCGGCGTGGACGTCCTTCTCTTTGCGTGGAGCTCTTCGTTGTGAAACGGTTGCAGGCTCATCGGTCCATTGCTTCACTGAGCTGACATTTGCAAATATAGAAGTGGCCTCTGACTCGGGTCATTTTAAAATGATCGTTTTAGTAGTTCAGTGGAATTCCAATCCAAGCAGATGAAGCCTGTCATAATCAACAGATTCATGTGTGCGTTATTTACGGGAATCTACAGTTTCTGAAAGAACTCACGTGTCTCATTAGGTTTTTACACACAGAGACACTTGTTACACAACATCTCAATGATGCACGCTCACTTTTCGACCGACACCACTATAGAAAAAACAGCTATTCCTTGTCAGATAAATGCAACTCGTCGGCAACGATTCAAATCCGGAAAAAAATCAACTCACCCATTAACGGTTTGGCACTAAACGGTCCGGCAACAGTCTGCTCGGCGTCAACCTCTCCATCGAAATGCGCTGATTGAACCGCCTCGGCTGCGTGTGCGGACACGGCAGAAACGCGCACGGAGCGAACGAAGCACACAGCTGACGGCGGAGGGTGGAGCGGGTGGAGGGATGAGACCCGGTCCGACTCTAGCGGCAGAGACTGCGGTTCCCGAGCATGTGGGAGACTTGCGCGCGCGAGTAATTTTTTTTTTTTTTTTTTTTTGGTGTGGACTTTACGCGCGCCGCGGCTGCTTCGTCAGAGCCACGCGGTGCGGAGATGGACGATGCGTCGTCTCCCGAGTCGCCGGGCGGCTATTCGTGCCGCTTAGCGAGCATTCCCCCCCCTTTAATTCAAGTGTTTCATCGGGCACCTGAAAGGGGGGGGGGGGGGGGGGGGGTTGGCTCGGGGACACGGGTCCTGCTGCTTTGGGATGGATTACACTTCCACGCGGCCACCCGTGTTTCGACCCCGTTGCATTTGTCACACGTCCTGCAGATTGATGCGCATCTCGCGCAAAGTGGTTTAAATAATGTGTCACGCATCAACGTGCGCGGCTCTGTGAGGATGGAAACCACGGTTCACAGTTTGCCTTAACAAACCATATCAGTTAGGAATCTGTTTGAGGCTATTTCCTATAAGAATCTTGTTTTTTAATGTGAATTTTCTTCACCACCGAGGCTGATCCAAGTAAATGTATATGATTTTTTATGGGACCTTTATATGGGTGTCCGAACTACGGCGCGCATCGTAGTGCAGAAAGTACACTTATGTTGAAACAGTTCCATCCCCGAGTTACATCATTTTCTAGTTTGTTACATAGTCCAGTCTATAGACTGTACATTTTGCGCTGGGTTTTTGGCACTTCCCCCTTTCTCCACTCTAGAGGGCACTGCGTCAGGGTTTGTCCACTTGAAGGGCATCCAAGAGGGAGTTTTGCCAAATAGGAATTTTTTATATTGCAGTGCCAGAGAATTAATTAATCATCTGGGAAGTTCATGTTCTGTATGAAAACAATAAAGGCCATAATCTCATTTCTTCTGATCGTCGCAGCATTTAACTTCTAATTCAATCTAGTGAGAAGCTGGAGAGGGAGCGGGGGCCAGCGGGTCAGGTTCATCGATATCATGGCCTGCACCAAGCATGACTGGCTGGAAGTACGTCATGTGAGAAGAGATGCATGAACACAGCCCCGGGATCCACATGGGGCCATGGTGAGGGTAATTAAAATGTCGTAGGTCAGAATAAAATCTTATTAAAGTGTCGTTAAGTTCGGGGTTTACAAGGACGTAACAAGATGTCCCTGTAAATCCAAGAGAACCGAGACAGCTGACCATACATTATGTGATTTTTTTTCCCATCATTGATTATGCAGAGGGCATAACGACAGTACAAATATAATCATTAGTGAACATCTGGCATCGCTGCAGGCACCGCATCTCATTTTCTCCATTGTGGGGCCTTCCCATTAGTGCCCTGCCCCACGTTGTCATGCACATGGGGCCACGGCATCGGGCATTTTGTCATGTTTTATGGACCATCAGGACATACAAGAGGACAGTGTCGTCCTACCCCCACCCCCTCCCCCCAGTCCACCACTTACTCAAAATGAAACAAACCTCCAATGGTCCTTTTACAGCAACAGTGCGTCCTGTAAACGGATTGTTTGGTATCCTCCGATCTCTATGAATCCCAATGGCAAACGATGATAAACGAGAACCCGTTTTAAAGTTGAGGTTTCACACCATTGCCAGCGCCATGGGAGGCTTGTTCATTACCAAAAAACAAACTATTTGTGGCAATATACAAGCTGCATCGAGTCCCATGTTGAAATCCTGGCTTTATAGCCGCTGCGGCATCTCGAACGTCCCACTGGGCACTTTCTACTTTCTTTAGTCCCGCAACCTCGGAGAGTACCACGAGTGCTTATCTGATTGTCCCTTGCGCCTACTCTCGCTTCCTCCAAATCCATGGGATTTGGAGGAAACATCTGCTGAAAGGGGATGAGTGTGCTTCGCTAACTAACCATGAAATATGCAGCTGCACACATGTATAGGCACACTTTGCTTTTATCACGTCGCCGCCTCCTCGAGGGAAACATTTGAGTAGCTGTAGGGACCGTTCCCCTCCCCCCCTTACCTCTCCCGCTGCTATTCCGCCTCCCACTTCACTCCCTCCTACAGGTGATGCCGATGCACCAAATCAAATCAGCTTAGCAGTGGCAGTCGGTGCCAAATAACCTGCTTTGTGAAATTGTGCCCCGCTAATCACGGAGCTATAAAGGCTACAGTAATGTAACCCACGTAAATTGTCAGTGTGCTCCTTATTAAAACGGGCCGCATACTTGCACTTCCAGGTGTTAGATGATTGGTAAAGAAAATGTGCTGAGAAACAAGATGGACCTGCATCATGCGGTGTAGTTTTGTTTTGAAAAAGAAAAAAGAAGATTGTGAGCACTAATTAAGCCGGGCAATTACCTCAGTGGCAAAATTACAGTGTGTCCTGTTTGGAGCAGCTGCGACTCAACTTACTCCAACTGAATGAAAAGCATCACCCTTCCTCAGCCCTCTTCTTTGTCTGTGGCAGGAAGCCTTTTTTTTTTATTCACACGGTGTCTTGGCACATTTCTGCAAATCACACCACTGACCTTGTCCCGCCCGGCCGGTCTCATCCCCATAAACAGCCGGTCATCAATTACTCCTGTTAGTACCAGAATATGACACTGTGAGCAGCCACAACTTCACAGCACAGGAGAGAAACAGACTTTGCTGGTAAACATTTCAAATTGTGCAGACTGTTTGAGTCAGACAAATTGAGTGATCGACTGTTAAAGCGCAGGTAACCTTGGTCTATTTGGGCAGCTGTCACAGTTTCATGATTTATCCTTTTTTATCCTTTTAAACTTGAACGAACAGCAAAATTATACCTTCAAGCGTGATGGTGTTGAGCCCTTCTGTCGTGCATCAGTTAATGATATCTGGTTGCACCGTGTACCGCCCACGCCTATGACATCGCCTGCGTGTGCGTGTGTGTGTGTGTGTGTGTGTGTGTGTGTGGCTGGGGAGGCAGGAGTAGGTTCAGACCGGCAAGGTGTCAGGCTGTGATGTGCTGAGGCAGGAGGCGCTGGGCCACCAGATGAAGGCGAATGAGGGAGGATTCAATAAATGGCAGCGACGACGCAGCGGAGGTCCTGAATGATGTTCTGATGAAGAAGCAGAATCTCCCGTACATGGACCATATGTATGCTCAGGAAATATTTGTCATGGTTGTTCTTTTGAATTACACCCCCTCCCTTCCCTCCCTCGCTCCCTCCCCTGCATGGATTTGTGCTTATTAAGAAGAAACTTTAATTGCTTCATTAAAGCATTTCCACATGGTGAAAAGCTGCTTTACATTTGCACATTTTTGCCAAATGAAGTAAAAATTGTTCTTGCTGTAGTGCTTTTCTTGAAAAACGTTGACATTTTTTAGGATGGATTGCGCCGGCGTCCTTGCTGTCAAACTCCGGATTACCCATTATCACCTCCGTAATCCATTACCTTTCAGCGCCTTCATGAGGTCAGCATTTCAATGTGTCAGTACTTTGGTTTTGATACAACCACATACAGGCTTTCCAATAGCCCGGCTGTTTTTTTCAGGCGTTGCACACAATGTGGCGGACAGAAACGTCCTCATTGTTCAGCAGTCATCTTGATAAATTGCTCTGACCCCATGTGGTGAACTTGCAGGACTGGAAATCCTGTTTTCTTGTTTTCTTGTCCTCTGAAACAGTCTTTTTAAAGTAATACAAGAAGAATAAATGCATTGTTAGTGGAAAGCTATTTGATATGTTGCTGTTAACAACACGTTTTCTTCCACAGCGTATTCATTTTGTAACAATAAAGATGACTGAGAGATGCTTTTAGTCTCTTTAATGGAATTTCTGAGGGAATAAATAGGTCCGTAAAGCTTTCCCTCTCTCCCCTGTTTGCCGCTGACATCTGTCAACTTGAATGTATATTCTTGAAGGAAAGACTAAGTAAATACATGTAGCATATCGTTCACTGAGGAATTTTTCCGGCCTTCTTTCATTTTCTTGTCACCACAACGCCGATGATGTATTCAGACTTCACACCCTTTCAGAGATGACACATTGCGTGCAATGCATTTCAAAACACAATGAGTCAGTGCATGAATTGTGAATGTTTGGTCCCTTAACTCTCCAAATGAAAGGGATTAAAGACATCAGTCTAAACATGATGCGCTTGCCTTTCACCCTAAAAATGGATCCAGTTCACACTCATGGGAGAATCTTTTCACGACGAGTTTATCTTCTTCACGAATGTGTCTTTTAATTCAAGTGGTTAAATGACAGTTAGTATGAATCTCTTTTCACTGCATCTTGGCTTCACCATAGAATGATCCTGCATGATAATCTATTCTGCGTGTTACTTTTTAAACTGCTGTGTTTTCCTCTCTGCATTCAATTTAAGCGCAAATCGAGTGGAACGGTTGCAGTTTGAGACATCTTTAACTTTAAATTAATTCTGATAGCTTTTGACTGACTCCTGTCATTAAATACCTTAAATAACTACAATCTTCTGAATAATTGAAAAGAATAGCGCACACATAAAACAAAACCTAATTTCATAATTTTAATTTAATTATTCCTCAAGAATAATTTTTAATTTAAATACTTAATGAACTGTTGGGGTCTTTTTGACTGGAAATGGTCTAATTTCAGATGTTATGCCTGAAGTGATCCCCTGACTAATCTTTTAAGTGAATAGCCTGAGGTATTGCCCTAAAAATAAGACAATGAATACAGCACTCAAGGTCATGTGCCGGGGAAGATCTTGGAAGAGCGATCCATCTATCGCTTCTAGGGACCGGCCAAGGTAAAACAGGCTGAGGCTTCATATTTCTTTAAAATGACATTAGCATTTCTCCAAGTACAACAAGGAAGAAGTGTGGTTTGGAATTGCAATAACTCATCCGAGATGGCTCCACTGTGGCCTGTTACGGCACGAGGCTCAATCCTCTTCTTCTTCTTCCTCACTTCTTCTTGTGTTGGGTAGCGGACACACACGCGCGCTCGCACAGTTTGCTGTCAGGACGTATCATCTTCTACTCCTCTTCATGTGTCTGGGGCCACGGCCGCTTTCCTGCAATCCCTCTCTCGCCTCGCTCGGTTAAAAATAAATAGTGCGGTCGAAGAAATAGAGCTTTCTGGGCCTTGACAACACACACACACACACACACACAGATCCCAATTGTGTGATTCACATGTCATCTCAGGCTCAAGCCAGTGTGCCGGGAGCACTTGTGTAACAGTATGAAGGGCCAT